TTTTTGATATTTATTCAGGTCACTGAATGTATCAGAAGTTCATTCCTTTTTATTTATTTATTTTTTTTTTAGAGGCAGGGAGGCGGGTGGGTGCCCCCTTCGGTCTGGGGATCCACCTCCCATTGTGCTGCCAGACCCGTGGACCCCTGTGAGCGGAGCTCATAGGCAGTTTGCTTGGGTGATGCCCCCAGGGAGGGCCTGGCCCCAGAGAAAAGGGGAAGAGAAGGGTAAAAAATGAGGGCAGCTCTCCCTTTCCCCCACACCACTGCTGCATGCCAGGCACAGGGGTAGGGGAGGAGACGGACAAACCCTTGTGTTGAGGGCTCACTTTCAATAGATCTCAACGAGGGAGCTGCTCTGCTACATACGAAACCCCTACCCAGAAGCAGGTCTTCTACTAATGGTTTAGCACCAGGTTCCCCACAAACGTGCAGTGCATGACAGTTCATTCCTTTTTATTGCTAAGCTGTATTCCATTGTATGGGTATCATAAACTTGTTTATCCATTTACCTGTTGATGGACAGTGAGTTGTCCTGACTTGGAACTATTAAAAATTAATCTATAAAATTTAATAAACAAAAAATGAGATACCACTATGCACCTATTAGAATGGCCAAAATCTGGAACACTGACAACACAAATGCTGACAAGAATGTGGAGCAACAGGAACTCTCATTCATTGCCAGTGAGAATGCAAAATGGTACAGCCACATTGGAAGACAGCTTGGTGGTTTCTTACAAAATTAAACATTCTCTTACTAAATTGTACTCTTTAGTATTTACACAAAGGAGTTAAAAACTTATATCCAAACAAAAAACCTGCACACAGACTTTTGCACTTTGTTTCACCCTGATGTCACGTTCAAGTGGCTGAAGACAAACACATTACCTGTGAAAATCATAGGACAGACTTTATATAATAGACATGCAACATCAAGTAGCCAAATGAGTCTTCTCTGGAAGAGTGCCCTAATGGTTTTAAGAGCTGTCAATGTAGTGTTTAACACAAAGTAAAGGTAATTCATGCTGACACTTTGTATTAGAGGAAACAGTTTCACCAACTGACTGAAAAGCAATCTCTTGGTTTTAAACGGCAAAAAACAAGTGTTGCTTAGACCCAATAATGTAAAATACAGACTGGGCATTCAAATTTAGAGAGAAAAACACATTTTAAATATTAACAAATTAGTTATCCATATTATTTCTCTTTTCTTTAGCACACATATTTTAGTTGAATAAAATACTTCCTCCGTAACAAATTATAATCAACAAACTTTGATGCACTACATCATAATAAAATTAAAAATCAAAAAAGGAATACATAACATTTGCTACAGTTTTCTTCTTCCTTTACAAGCATCATATAGGAAAAGAAGGTTCCTGGGCAGAGCTACCCATAATCAACAGCAATGGCAATGACAATGGCAGTAGAAAATTGAGGGGCTGGAACATGTACCTGCCTCATTCTCTATCCACAATGGAGGTATGGAGAAGACTCTTTCTTTCAGATGCACAACATGAATCAGGAGAGAGTAGTTCAAGAGGTAGGTCGCAACTATGACAGCCCTTCTGCACAAGAAGATGGGCAGATTATGGTTGATGTGGAAATGTACACCAGCAGAGACTAAAGCTTTCAGTCAGAAGTTGTAAAAGGATAAAGAAGTTAATGCTTTGAAGAAACGTGTAAAATTTGTGTCTGACTGGTCCCATAGACCTGTAAATATTCCTAAAAAGTTCTACTTCAGGAAAGTTGAATGCTCTGTTTCTTTAAGCATGAGGAAAAGTAGAGCATGAGAAAAGGGGGTGTTTTCTCTGTAGAATCTCTTAAGGTGTTCATTCCACCTCTCTTCCTTTCTCATGTTTTAGCTTTGGGGCTAAGCAGTTATCTTAAAAAGGGCTGAGCAAACCTTCTGCCAGGACCCACTAAGGGAAAGAAAAGTCCCTGGAAAAGCACGTGACCTGTGAAGTGGTGTATTGTCAGAGTAGTTTATTTGAACTATAAGCATAATCCAACTTACCACCCTATTTTTACATATCCAAGTCCCAGTAACTTTCAAATTCAGTATTTTATTCAAAGTCTTGAGGCAATTTACTAACCTCATTCCCTTTTTGGCCTATTAGACACTTTTAAATTTCCTAAATGATTTTACTATTGTTTAGAAACTTTCAAGGGCCTCTTTTCTGCAAATGCCACCTATTTATAACTTTGTCAATAATGATATTGTCTTTTTTCATACCACCACACTTAGTTTTAATCTTACATGAACTACCCTCTCTCTCCTAAGACAAGAACAGGTTAGTAAATGATATAAAAGCTTTGTTGTTTCGTTTTGATTTTCAAGAGCTTCCCTAAGTTTGAATTTGTATTCATTAAAAAAAAAAAAAAAACAAGACACTAGAAAAAATATCCTGAGCAATAAAAAATTATTTTA